TCATGGAGAGGCAATCTCAAGGTTCTTCATGCTGAGTCTCACCCAATCAGGACATAGGTCATGTTGGGGAGGGGACAGGTCTAAAGGGATGGATGGACACCAGAGCAGGGTCCATGAGTGAACCCTCATGATTTCTCTCTGTTGTTTTGCAGAGGCACACATTGTTCCTTCATTAGTTTGAAAATGTTTAAAACTAGTGACCTGATGTACAGGAATGCTAATTGAAACACAGTCCTCACCAGACTAATAATTAATGCAAACAAAGAGTTAAATTTCAAAATTAAAAGTAACTCCCAGTAATAAATAGTGTATAGAATTTATATATCATTGTTCTTCAATACTGGGTTTCACACACCAGACTTTTATAGGAATTAACAATAAGCAACATCCTTTAAAACGATTTCTTCAATTTAATATTTAGACTCATCATGTATAAAACTTTGCTAATTCTTCTAAAATTATCAAATTTGAATTGTAATGGCCTTTGTAGACCTAATAAGAGAGTGGTGTCTCTTGCGAAAATTCAATTAATTAAAAAATAAATAAGACCAAATTATATCAGAAGTAATTTTTGATAATATTTTAATTCTTTCCCTGTTACTTGTTTTTGTCTCTTTCATTTGGTCTCAGCATTTAAATTTCTAATACTCCCAACACAAACCTCCTTATAAAGACCTGGAAATGAAAACAAGGCCTCCCTTTGCTCTTGAAAACCAGAATAGTCCTAACTCTGCAGAACCTGCTGAGGAGCCCAGGCCTGGATACCAAGACTTCCCATTGAGTGATAGCACTGAAGGAAAGCCACTCACAATGGAGCTGTGCATGAGGGGAGATTCCTTTGTTGCTTTTAAATTTTTAAATATTTTTTGAGAATTTCTTAATCTTAGTACCGTGGCAGTCAATATCCCCACTCAAATTCTTCTTGTGTCCAACTCATGCTCACTCTCAAATTCATGACTTCTTCATCCTTACATAATACGTTTCCTGTCTCTCCTCTTCCTCTAATCATCGGGTGTTTTAGGGAGGTCACAGAAGAGCAAGTCTTTATTGTAGTTGGGGAAGGTCTGCCCTGGAAGAGCTAAATGTTAAATACAGGTCATCAAAATGTGTTTTAATCATTGTTAAAGCAGAACCACAGTGTTTATATTCATATAGTTTTTCTATTGTTTTGTTGAGGGTCAATAGTGGACTTTTATGCCTGATATGCTGTACCACTCAGCAACAATGTGTTAATTCAGCTTAACAAATGCTTTCACTATTCACCAACCCATTTTTTTAAAAACGATTTTGGTTTCATTTTGTTTCTCTGAGTTTCTTATTAAATACATAATTATTTCACAAAGACAAGAAAAAATTTGTAAAAGAGAACAGTAAATTAAGGTTGAAAAGTTGTATTTCTTTTTTAAAACCTAAAATGCTACTCAGTGAAATTTCTTTTTTTCTTATTCATTCTTTTTCACTCTTCCTCCTGACAAACAGCTCAATACAGACCAAGCATAACTCAAACCCTTGATTCTCCTGCCCCATTCTCTTGTCTACAATGCAGTCCTGGGAATAAACATAGGGCTTCAAAATGCAAAACAATACTCTATCAACTAACCTGTGGCCCTGGAGAGTAAGTGATGCTTTCATACCATACACTCCACTTTGGTCTTTATTTCATCTCAGACATTTGCACCCTTATTTGTCTCCACTAAGCTCCTGCCCCTGAGTTGATGACACAGCAGGAAGACATGCAAATTATGTCCCCCTCTGCCCATGAAATCCAGTCCTGACCCTACAGTTCTGACAGAGGCACCCAGGTCTGGACTCACGGGTCCTCCCATTCTGTGGTCATCACTGAACACACAACACTCAGCATGGATTTGATACTGAGCTGGGTTTTCCTTGTTGCTCTGTTGAAAGGTAATTTATACATAAGGAGAGATACTAAATGTTTGGGCAAATGTAAGTGAGAGGGTTATTGGACATCTGTGAGTGTGTACTGACAGAATTCTCTGTTTGCAGGCATCCAGTGTGAGGTTCAGCTGGTGGAGTCTGGTGGAGACTTGGTACAGCCTAGGGGTTCCCTGAAACTCTCCTGGGCAGCCTCTGGATTCAGCTTCAGTGATGCCTGGATTCACTGAGTCCTCCAGGCTCCAGGGAAGGGACTGCAGTGGGTGGGAAGAATTAAGCACAAACCTGATAATTATGCAACAAGCTACGGGGAGTTCGTGAAAGGCAGATTCACCGTCTCAAGAGACGACTCCAAAAGCAGCCTCTACCTGCGAATGAACAGCTTAATATCCAATGACACCGTCATTTATTAGTGTGCTGCAGACACAGTGAGAGAACTTCAGTGTGAACGCTGACACAAACCTCCCTGCAGGAGCGCTCAGAACCAGCAGGGGGCGCACTGCGCACATGGAAAACCAGCACATTGCAGGAACAGTTGCAGATGGGTTCTCAGTCTCAGCTGGCACTCCATCTGATGATTTCCCATAATGCTCTCTGCATTTAGGGTCTGTAAGGAAGGAAAAAGCAGAGTTCTGTTTTCCCTCCATGAAAACACACACACACACACACACACACACACACACACACACACACACCCACACA